CATAAATCATGAATTGCACGATGCACATCTCCACTAGGATGCATCTCAAGAGTCAATAGAAAATTATCTAAAGACCTCTTACTCAGGTCATCCTTAATGAATTGTATTTTATCTTCATAATTTACAGATACCATTCCTAAAGAATGACTTGTTGCATTACAAGTCCATCTGGTATATTTGTAACAGACTTTCAGTCATTTTACACGACGTTTCTTTGAAAAAGTGCTTTTACCTATGGCAAGCATGTGTGAAATGAAAGAATTGGAGAACTCACTTGATAATCGGACCTTTACTTCAATCAGCTAGCAAATATCTTTAAGAATTCAATGATTCATTAACAACCTCAATCTTGCACATCTAGCATGATAAATTTTTGTAATCGCATTCTAAAACAGAGCAGGAAAATACTTTTTTAATTTTCAAGAGAGGTGTCCATTTTCAAATAAAATTGGAGGAGAGATTCAAAGAAAGGGAAAAGAGCAAAGAATTATACAAATATATACATAGATATCAATTATAATGGGAAACTGAATGAACCGACTTAAGTCATGGAGTACCATTATCTACCATTTGACCAGGGTGAGAGAAACTAGGAAAAAAAAAATCACAGAAAAAAAAATGTGAGGAAAAAAAATCAATCTTTATATACAGGATTATCCAATTCAATAGAGTCATTTTCAATTGAAAAATTGTCAAAGTAAGCTTTCAAACGATATCCATTTACCTTGAAAACATTGTCACTTTTTGAATTCTTGATATCACAAGCCCCATATGGATACATGTGTTTCACAATAAAAGGACCGCTCCATCTTGATCTTAGTTTTCCAAGAAAAAATGAAGTCTAGAATTATACAGTAAGATTTTTTTATCAACACTGAATGTTTTTCTCTATATTTTCTTGTCATGAAACTCTTTGATTCTTGCTTTGTGAATTCTTGAATTTTCATATGCATCATTTTTTATTTCCTCAAGATCATTTATTTATAATTTTCATAGTTGACTAGCATCATTAAGATTTGAATTGAAAGCTTTAATAGCCCAATAAGCTTTATGTTCAAGTTCCGCAGGCAAGTGACAAGGTTTTCCATGGACTAATCTATAAGGTGACATACCTAATGATGTTTTATAGTATAGGCTTGTTTATAGAGACATTCATTAAAATAAGGCAAAGTTGGGCAGTCATTGGTTGAGTGTTTATTTGTTTCACAAATTTAACACACAATATCTTGAATAGATTTTAGTTGACCACTCTTATTTAATTCTAGTGGCTCGACTTTTCTAGCTAAAGATGCAAACTTGGCTTGGAGGTTATGATCTTCCCTAAAGTTGTACATACCTCTATTAGATGTATGAGGTTAAGTTTTACCTAGTGCCTCATAAGTACTTGTGTTGTCCTAATTTTGAGTATTTTTAACTAATTAGTCTAAGTACTTCATTGCTTCATTAGTGCCTTTATCTTTAAAAG